TTGGGATGAACATTATAAAGTCTGTGTATTAATGTGAAAAATGGCAACTAATACAATGAGCAGAAGACAGAATGTATGACCCTATGGCTCCACATGACGAATCACACCCAGGAAGAAACACCGACAGGAGCACGGCTGTGAGACGTGGTAGGGGATCCAGGCGTCTTCTGTCCTCTGCTCCCCCGGGCAGACCTTCGGCACTGGGTCAACATCATCCCCGCAGCCACCTCCCAGGCCTAGTTCTGGGCTGGCCTGCCCCTCATGGAGCTGGGTTTCCTGAAGGCAGGCTCTGACTCCCCACCCACACTCAACTCCACGTATAAAGCCCACAGGCACGAAATAAATGCCTATTAGAGGAAGTGCTGGTTGACCCAGGCCCTGGGAGCTCCGCGAGTGCCCTGCATGCATTTCTGGTGCTGAGTGAGGCCAGGCCCACCGCCAACACTCCTAGGGATTTTCTGAATGATTCCAAGAGCTGGGCCTGGGGACAAAGATGGTGCCCCAGGAGGGCAGGGGCTCCTGGATTGGGGATGGGGCCAGGGACCCAATCTGTGGGATCCACTGGGGCCCCAAGGATCCAGAGACCAACTTCAGGGCTCTGACATCCAAGAACTGGTGTTGAAATCCTGCCTTGGCCCCACTGGGTTGTGTGAGGCAAGTCCATGTTTGGTCTGCACACTGCCAGTCCACTGGGGCTGGCTGGGAGTGCTGCTCTGGGGCTGGGGCTGGGGCTGGGGCTGGGGCAGGGCAACTTGCATGACAGCTTTCCAGCCCTTTTCCCCTCACCGGAATGCTGGCCTCACCCTTCACTCTGTGTCCCTGAGTATGACGTTCCTGGAGGCATCAGGAATCATTGCTCATTTTCTCAGCTGAGGCTCCCAGGGTCTTTGGCCCCTGCCCCATCCTCTCCTCTGAGCTCTGGACCCAAAACCAGTTGCCCACTTGAACCCTCCAACTGGGCCCCCAGTGATCACCAACCTCCAGTTCAGCAGGTCTCCAAGTGACTCCACCACTCCACCCACCCAAGCTCTCATCACCCATAGGGCACCCCCTCCCCAGGTGCCCAGCCCCATCCCGGACTCCTGTCTCTCCTCTCCCCTCATACCAGATCCTCAAAAGTGGGCTAATCTACCCTCTTAATCCCCTTCATATCCTCCCCATTCCTCCTTCTTTCCCGCAGGATGGCCAGTCTCCCAGGGGTCTCCCTGCCTCCCTGTCCACTCGCTACCCAGCCGCCCAAGACACCTGCCTGATGCCCCCAGACCCCTGCTGGCTCCCCCTGCTTGCAGGTGGCCAGGCCAGGGTCCCAGCATGGACTCTGAGCTCCTGCAGTCCCCGCTCTCCATAACTGTGCCAGCCTGGGCATTACACCCTTGCCTCCAGCCCTCCGCTCAGTCCGCTCCCTCCCTCCTCACTCCTCTTCCTCTTGGGTGACACTCACTCGCCTGCCAGCCCTGAGCTGAGCTGACCCTTCCCACCGTCACTGAGCCTGGGCTTCTCCAGGCCCTGACCTGAGTCACCAGCACACCTACCACCTGTCTGGTAAGGCCTTGTCTGTCTGTCTGTCGGACTCCCTTCTACACTGCCGCCTGCACAACAGCCAGGCCCATGTCTGGGCCTCTGGAGTGTCTCTCACTCAGTGAGCCTGGCAATGCGCAAATACTTGTTGAGTGAATGAAGGAAACGCCAAGTGTACAGAACCTTGTGAAGAGATAAGTAAGGAGGTCTCTTGGCTGTTGGTGGCCTCATCTCTCATCCCCCAGGCAGCACGGGGGTAAGAATATCACCACCATCCAAGGAGTCCTGAGTCCTGGGTGCTGGCCCAGCTCTGCAGTAACTTGCCATGTGTTCTTGGGAAGACACACACCCTCTCTGGACTCCTCATAAGTAAAAGGGGGAGGGGATGGATGAGCAGATTTCTAAGGCTCAATGATTTAAAATAAAAAAGCCCTATGTGGAATGGCCATCATTAAAAAGTCCACAAACAATAAATGCTGGAGAGGGTGGGGAGAAAAGGGAACCCTCCTACACTGGTGGAGGGAATGTGAATTGGTGCAGCCACTATGGAGGTTCCTTAAAAAAACTAAAAATAGAGTTACTATATGATCCAGTAATCCCACTCCTGGGCATATATCTGGAGAAAAATGTAATTCGAAAAGACACATGCACCCCAATAGTCACAGCAGCGCTATTTACAACAGCCCAGACATGGAAGCAACCTAAGTGTCCATCGATAGATGACTGGATAAAGAAGATACGGTATGTATACACAATGGAATACTACTCGGCTATAAAAAAGAATAAAACCATGCCATTCGCAGCAACATGGATGGACCTAGAGATTACCATACTAAGTGAAGTAAGTCAAAGACAATACCATATGATATCACTTACATGTGGAATCTAAAAAAATGATATAAGTGAACTAATTTACAAAACAGAAAGAGATTCACAGACATAGAAAGCAAACTTCTGGTTACCAAAGAGGAAGAGCAGGGAGGGATAAATTAGGAGTTTGGGATTAGCAGATACAAAGTACTATATGTAAATTAGATAAGCAACAAGGCACAGGGAACTACATTCAATGTCTTCTGATCCGTAGTCATACCCGTTATCCATTGCACCACTGGCCCCGTATTTACATTCAGTATCTTGTAATAATCTATAATGATAAATATATATATGTGTGTATGTGTGTATATATATGTGTGTGTGTGTGTGTATATATGTGTGTGTGCTGTACACTGGAAACTAACACAACATTGTAAATCAACTATTCATTAGAGAAAAAAGAGAAACCAGTTCTGTGTGAAACCAGCTCTTGAAACATTCAACATGTGTTGTCTCTTCCAAGTCTTAAGACCAGCCTCACAAAGAAGAAACAGAGACTCGGGGGCTCAGCCCCCACTCTCGGGGAGCACAGCTAAGAGGGCCAAGCCAGTACTCAAACTCAGGCCAGCTGGGTCCATGACTCCTCTGGAGGCACAAGAGAGCAGTGCCCACCCAGGGTTAAACAGAGTCAAGCTAAGAACTCTGAGAGGCGGGACAGGGAAAGGGCAGTGGGGGCGGCTGGAGCAGGCAGGGCAGGCCCTCAGGGGCCGGAGACACTGCTCTTATTATTCCCACATGCAGGCCTCCTGTCTGCAGCCAGGCCATGGTGTCCTGGAGGGCCAGCCCACGCCTCAACCTGGGCACACTGCCACCCTCGCCCACTGGGCCCAGAACTGGACACATTCACTGGCTCGCCCACCTCAGCTCCTCTCACGAAGGGGTCTATGATAACCAGGGTGGGATGGAAAGCATCATCACCAAGGGGTGGGGAAGCAGGTGGGGGAGGCCAAGCTGTCCTGTGGGCAGAGGCAGGGCCTGGAGGTAGAGTGGAAGGAACACGCAGACCCAGGCTGCAGTGTGACCTCCCGGTCTGACTCCCTCAGGGTCCGTGGGCAAGCCACCCCGCCTTCCTGAACCTCAGTCTCCTCATCTATAAAATGGGCACATCGACGCCGATGCCCAGGGTGGCTGTGAGGGTTACATGAGGCAGCACAGGGAAAATGCTTTGAGCATAACAAGCTGAATAAACACCCACTGGTGTGGAGGGCTGCCACTTGTTGAGCCCTGACTTGATGCACAGTAAGGAATCAATATTAATTAGCTCACCTGACAGATGAGACTCAGAAAGACAAAGAGCTGCCCAGGTCACACAGCTAGAAAGTGGTGGAACTGGGACTTGAACCCAGGTCAGTCTAAGTTTGATGCTCTTCCACGGCAGAGGGGCCTCCCAGAAAGAAGGCAGCATTTGCGTGCCGCAAGCATGTGTTGTGTCCGGTGGAGTCCGTCTCAGACCTCAGCCCGTTACTCTGAGACACTAACCACAAAGGCCCCGGCCCTTGAGCCTTCAGGCTTAGCCTCCATCTGGTCCCCTCCCTCTGGTCTTTCCAGCTCAGCTCAGGACCCTGGGGGAAGTTTCCAGTTCTCATGATGCCATTAGAGATCCCCAGGGGTCCTTGCCCACCTGGGTAGCCAGCAACCCCTTGGCCAGAAGAGGGGCTGGCGCCAGAGCACAGCTGGGGCCTGGCTGGGGTGAGGGCCCCAGGAGAGGAGAAAGCGCCAGCTCATTAGATGGGAGAAACAATGGGGAATGTCTAGGCCTCTTTCTCCCAGGCCCTGGGGCAGTAACACCCTCCTCTTCTTCAACTGGGGCCAGAATTATGAGGGATATTCATCCCTTCCCCCACCAACACTCGCTGCCACTTCTTTGAAATCCCCCTCCCAACTGCCTAACACCAGATAGGGGGCAGGGAGAGGGGTGAAGGGGAACCCTCGGATTAGGGTCCCTACCCCAGCAGGGACCACCTCCCCACCACCTCGCACTCCAGGGCTCTCCAAACCAGACTCCCTCTCCCACAGCCAAGCCTACGATCTCGTGGTTGAAGCTAAGCCTTCTGCACCTGCGCACACCTGACCAGGTCAGTGCTTTCCCAAATCCACAGAGGTCCTGGCCATGCCAGGCCTGGGAGTTAGGCCCCTGTGGCCAGGCAGAGCTGAGGAGGGGCCTACGACTCCTTTTAGTACCCAGATTGTCGGTTGCCCCAAGAAACTGGGACCCGTGGGGCACCCCAGGCTGCTCCCATGTCTACTCAGAAGCCTTCTGACTGGGCACAGGCAAAGCTCCAGAATTCCTGCTTCCTCCGAGATCTCAACACAGACCCCAGGCCCCGCCGCAGCCCCAAAGTCAGGCAGAAGGTGGCCTCCGAGCCCCCTCCTCCAATTCCAGCTCAGAATCTGCCTAGGACATGGAATGGCGGAGGCAGCAGTACTGATGTGCAGCGGCCATCAGTCCGGACTTCAGGCTGAGGGGGTTCTGAGGGCTCCGTCTCGGGAATAGATCCCACCCCCACGCCGCCCTCTAGTTCCGGATCTGGTTGTATACTGGGGCCGGGGGGAGTCCGGGCAGATCTATCTGGGCTGAAGGGCGAGGCGCGGCGGCCGGGAATTCTCACCTGAAATTGGGCGGCGACGCGATGTGCAGCCCCAGGAACGGGGAGGCGGCAGGCGGGGACGCGGCCCCCCCGCCCAGGCCGCCGCTCTCTC